TTCAAGAAAAATCAGTTTACCTAACTAGACATTAATAAGCCTTCCATAGAATAGACCAAACCAAATGTCATCGAGGATCACCCATTTACTCATCATGTTAAGAGGATTTAAGCAAAAAGATGTCAAATTGATTTTGAACCAAAAAATGAGTTCTCTTCGGCCGTAACTCGTTTCAATAGAGCTTCAAGCAAAGTCATGAATTCATATAAACGTGATGATAACAGGAAAAAAGAAAAAAAAAAAGTCATGAATTCATATAAACGTGATGATAACAGGAAAAAAGAAAAAAAAAAGAAAAAAAAAAAGAAGAATGATTCGTATAAACTTCTTCCAAGAGCTATTACTAATTTTAAAAGAAGGCCAGAATATCACAGCAAAGAGAATAGAATGTAGAAAACTAAAGAGCTTTCATTTTAATAAATGTAAAATAAGATGACAATACAAGGAAGGAATAACTCGGTTCTCGGCAACCCGAAATGAATCTAAATTACCCATATTCAGCCACCCAAATCAAAAAACTTTTGGGCTGCAGTCTTGAAGATGGCAATACTACAGCATAAAAGATAAGAGCTAACAATCAGAATAATGCTGGGGATGGAACTGGCTCGTAAAAACAAGGGCCAAGTTCCCAACATAGCAGCTTTGTTAAAAAGAGCCACCAAAGCCAAGTAAACAACCAGAAACCCACCTATTATGATGGTATCTACACTTCTCATCAGATGTCACAGTCCTAAATCAAAACGCAAATAACGAAGAACCACCCAATTTCAACCACCAGCTTTCCTTTTTCTTTTCTTCCCTCTAAGATGCCTTTTGAACCATGCACTTGTTTCTTATCAAGAACAGAACCTGCTTCTCCCATGCCTGGTTCTGTTAACATCATCTCCTTGAGGTCGATGCCCTGCTCAGTTGGTGCCTTATCATCTCTTCCAAATCATATGAGTTACCTCAAATATGAACTCATGTATAGCCTTGCCCTAATATCAAGGGGTCCATCATCCCCACCAACTGCATCAAGTGCTACAGAAATTGTTGAGAGGAGATGAAGCGTTAGAGGGAAAGTTCCAGGATCAATTCCAGTCTTTGCATTGGCCACCAAATCTTGAGGTGCTGCCTCACCATCACCCACCCATCTTACACCACACCCACATGCACTCTTTTTTTCTGATTCCACACTTGGATCGTAAGGGTTTACGATCAATGCAACACTTCCAATGGCCCTGTAATATCCAGTGCCACCTCTCTTATTGCGTCTATGGGTGGATAAACTGAGCACCAATGTAGATGTGGACTCAAGCCATTCCACAATCAAGCCATCAACGTCATCATAGTATATCCGCCGTTCAATCTGGAAAATTTCAAGGATTAGCATTGGAAACCCGAAAAAGAGATGTATCTGCAAGAATTAAAGAGGAAGAAAAAGGAAACAACTCACAGCAAGCTTGTGAATATAGATTGACATGAATTTTGGCCCCAGACCAAGCACCCGAGCTTCAGACAATAAAATCTGCAAAAAGACCATATGCATTAGACAAAGCACATTAAGTACATAATGAAACACAGACAGCATACTGACTGTTGAAAAGAGAAAAAAAGAAGTTACCTCTCTCTTCTTCAGCAAAAACCATGTATAGAGCTTATCACAAGCATCCTTAACTTGTCTACTAGCCAGTTGTCTATCATTGCAGTGTGCAGCAACACCAGCAAGTACTTCTGTGCAGGGAATATTATGTTTCAATGCTGCAGTTGATAATGCCTCCCTACCTTGTTGGGATTCAGCAGCATCCTTATCAAAACAAATACCAGTGAAACACCCTCCTGAAACTTCATTCGAATGTTTAGCTTTCACTGACAAATGCTTAAGATAAAATTTCTCAGCATCAACAACAGCAGCCATCATCCGATGCACAATGATATCAGGATATCGACGTAGTGGTGAAGTAAAATGTGTATAAAGAGGAACAGCAAGGCCATAATGACCCCAGTCATCCACATTATCTTTTAATTCACCACTACAAAAGTAGGTTGCTAATTGCATTGGCTTTAAAGCATATAATAAGAGAATATCAAAGAGCATAGTATCATCTTTCAGCTTTTCCCTTAATTTTTCCAAGGAATGATGAAATTGGCCAGAGGAAGAAGTGTCCAATTCCAAACCATTTTTCTGACAAAAAGCTTCTAACTCTCTCAGTTTTCTCAGGTTAGGTTCAGGATGCCTCCGCAATAATGCACCATCCGGGAAAGCCCTAGATATGACTTCGGCTGCTGTTGTGTTTGCCAAAAGCATGAACTCCTCCACAAGAAAATTTGAATCTGTCTGTTCATTTAGCACACTATCATATGGAACCCCAAGTTCATCAAACAAGAAATCAACTTTAAAACTATCAAGCTGTAAAGCCCCATCATCAAATCTCCTCTTCTTCAAGATTTTTGAAATTTCATGAAGACATTTAACAGATTTGACCACATCAAGAAACTCAAAATGGCCATGCAACTTAGGACAATCTCCTGACGAATGAGAACCCTGCCCATCAACAGTCCCATCAATGATATCTTGAGCATTCTTGTATGAAAGCTTGCAACAAGACCTAATAACAGTGCGACCAATCCAACGATCCACTACATTCCCAGAACTATTTAACTCCCAGAAAATAGAAAATGTAAGCCTATCCACTCCAGGATCAAGTGAACCTAGATTCTCTGAAAGCAATTGGGGCAACATTGGTAGTTTTCCCCTTGACATGTAGACACTTGTTGATCGACTCTGAGCTTCTAGATCTAACGCTGTATCTGGTAAAACAAAATATGAAACATCAGCGATGTGCACACCTACTCTAAAAGTTCCAGCAGGCAACCTTTCAACTGATAAGGCATCATCAAGATCTGTGGCTGTTGAAGGATCAATTGTAAATACACATAAATTCCTAAGATCTTTTCTTTTTTGAAGTTCGTCCCATGGCACCTCCCAAGGAATATGTGGGAGGCAGGAAAGTGATTCAGGAGAGAAATCAGCACAAATAATTGAATTTTCATACAGTATTGCATTGATATGTGGTTCTAATTCACCAGCCTTTCCAAAAGTATGCAATACACAAGCCTGTGGAAAAGAACTTTCTTCACTCCAACCATCAATTCCTGCAGCAACCAATTCCATCTGAACTGTTGCATCGCCATCCTCCAATCTTTTCTTAATACTTTCAGGTAAGTCTCTTGAAAGAACTAACATTTTAGGAAACTTTGGATCAGTTGGTGTTAGATGGATATAACCGTGGTCAGAAATTGACAAACAGCTCTTATTCTTTGCATCTTTTTTGTAAGAAAACCACTGCTTAACATTAAGGAAACCAACAATAGCATCTCGCCGACTAGACTTTTGGACAATAGCTATAACAGTGCCAGTTGGCCTTTTCATTGGGGATGAGCTAACCATGGCAGCCAACCTGCCCACAGCATCTGTACCATCATTCTGCTTACCAGAAGAGCTTACATTTGGAGCATCTGGAGCAGATGATTGAGCCCCATTAACATAATTATAAGAAGCTGATCCAACCATTTCAACCATATCCTCGTCATTCTCGCAATCTGCATTCATCTTACCTTTCCCCTTGTTGCTGGAAGCAACTGATTCACTAACTTCTGGGAGTAAATTACCTTCTGCCAGTGCAGAATTGTTGGAAGACCCACTTGACCCTTTCATCTTTGTCCAGAATGGAAATGGATCAACCTTAATGACCACAGTATCTCCTTCAATCTATGTGCACAAATGTAAATATATAAATAAATTTGCAGCTATTAAGATTAATGGTCCCATTTCCATCCCCAGAGATAAGGGCAGAGTATTTTAAAAAAGAACCCAACTGACAGGGAGAACGTAGAATGCATAGTTACATATTTCATCTTATCATAAGAAATATGGACAAACCAAAAGGTAGCACTCTCTACTTACAGCTCTATTCTGGGCAACAATGCCACTGATGAGAATGTCTGTTGGAACTCCATCAATTTTGCAGTAGGCCTACCACAGAAAAGATCACTTATGCATGTTGCCTAACCAGCATATATAACATGAGAAACATGGGAAAACAAAATGAGAATATATCACAAACCTCAAGTCTATTATAAGCATTCACACGAAACAATGCTTTAAAAGCTTCACCTTTCTGCAAAACATCATGAAAGGGTAAGAGAAGAAAAAATAACAAGGAAAAGAACACTCGGAAATATTCTTAGTCCCTTCCTCCACATAAGCCAAAAACCTCATAAGGAAGTAGGAACATAAACTACATTGTCTGCACAATATTTATAGCATCTTCACAAACCTCCAAAGCATCAGTTACAGCCTCAACAGGCCAATGTCGAACAAAGAGTTTGCGTTGAGTGGATGCCTCAATCTGTTGAGAATGAAAAAAGCTGTACGTGTCTGTTCCAGAAGACCTGTCCTGCACAATTGGCTCGGGCCATGACTTTGAAAACATTCTATCACCAACATACTCGTCTTGTGCACTACTCACTCCACCAAGTTCAGTTTCATTTATATGCATTATTGGCATAGAATTGAAAGCAATATTAGATGCTTTGGCTGGCCTCTCCTCATTTGGAACATGCTTCTCCGATCCTTGCTGCTTCGGAGAAGCATAATTCACATATGATGTTGAAATTTTAGTTTCACTACCACTTTTCAAGTTTTCTGATGCCTCGCCGACTGTTTCATTCACTGAACCACAAGCCGCACCTGTTAAGATCGAAATCAAGACAATAAACAGTTGAATATCCAAAAAATCCATACTTTTGACCAATACCAACCCAGGCAGAGAGTCTCAATTGTATCTTTTTAGCGCAATCCAATCCACAATAACAAGAACAACCAAAGTCACAGCCCCAAAAATCTATAAAATCATCATAACTTCTACTGATTTTACAGTAATCAATCCCACATACAAAGAAATCGATGATATCACGAAAATTAAATTTGCTAAAAAAAGAAAAAAAAGAAAAAAAAAACAATGCTTAAGATGAGGCACCTGCGTTCTGCTTGGATCGGCGATTAGATCGACGCTTTTTCTTCTTTTCCTTATCGGCATCCTCTACCATAAGCACTGAATGCTGAACGGCGCTCTTCATAGTTTCAGCCAAATAACTAAAAATTGAATTAAGAAATATCGAAAAACCTAGATCAGATATGAATCGAATATAGAAACCTAATAGGAGGAAAAATCCGGCAACAACTTCCGATGAGTAAAAAAATATATACGGAAGGGACCGGAAAGGAAAACGGCGGAGAGGAGAGAAGAGAAGAGAAGAGAAGAGAAGAGGAGAGAAGAACCGAGAAAAAGGAAGGAATCGGAATATTTTTGAGAAGGGAGAGTTCTTTTCTTTTTTGTTTTTTTTTGTTTTTTTTCCCAGAAGTGGAGGCGGAATAGAAAGCGACGGGAAGAGTGGTCGGCGTAGGGAATATTTTTGAGAAGGGAGAGTTCTTTTCTTTTTTGTTTTTTTTTTTTTGTTTCCCAGAAGTGGAGGCGGAATAGAAAGCGACGGGAAGAGTGGTCGGCGTAGCGAATAGCGGTGGGCACCGAGCTGTCGATTCCTTTCTCTTTTCTTTCAACTCTTTTTCTTTGGTGGTTTTCTAAGCATATTCTTAAAGAATATATTTATTATTGT